CCCCAAAACCCCAAAACCCCGTCAAAATAGGATAAGTTATAACAATGAAATGGGGATTTTGAAAATACTTATAGAATTATTAATAGAAATTTTAATCGTAGGAGTATGGCAGCAAGCAAATTTACACAATCTCTTGTTGAAATGTAGATCAAAAGCAGCAATTAGAATCCCTCTCTGCTTGAATATTCAAGCTTAAGTCAAGTTAGAAGTCCCAGCTAATAATTAGCTAATCAGTCGAATCAACAAAGCAGGAACAAGGAGTAGATTATTAAATCTATATCACTTCCAACGCTTAAGAATTTCAAAGCAAATTCCAATAAATAATAGCAAAGTCTAAACTCTTAGGTATAAGATAAAATAATATCTGAGACCGTGACCAAAATGAAGAAGCATATTACTAAGCCTAAATTCATAAGAGATGTCAAGACTAATCATGCTTAACAAAAATAAATAGATCCTAAAGTGAGAGAAAAACTGGCTACTTTCTACAAGGAAATTATTACACCATCTAATAAAGATATAATGGCAAGTATTAACAGTATTAAGGAGGAAAAGAGACTGTCAATGAATAACCAAAGCCAAAGCTAGTTTTTCAAGGGAGCTGACAAGATGAAGAAATATGATTACCAGTCAATGATGCTCAGTAATAAGAACTTATTCCCTAAACTGAATACAACTGCCTCTAATTTCATTACTCAAATAATGAGAGATAAAGACTAATCTAGGAATGAATATTAAGACAAGCTATTAGAGATCAATAACTCCGAAATTAAGCCAGACTAAGATGATTAAAAGAAGTACTATTTGACTCATATTGATACATTCAATAACAACTCAATCATGAAGAGGCATCACAGAATAGAAAGTTACAAGAGTTTAGAGAATAGATAACAAGTAGAATAGTTTGAGGATCCTTTTCCCTCAGTCAGAATTTAGGAAATGAACTCTCATTAGCTTGATAATATAACAATGACTACTTTGAAAACTGGATCTTTAGTAATTCAAGAAGAAGATAAATGACGATTGAAAAGAAAGTTCAAGTTAGCAATATAGAGTAGATACATGAATCTGGATTAGGATTTGACTTAGTTCTTAGATAATAAGAATATGTGGGGCAAGCTCTGTCAAAACAGTTTGCTAGAATAGGTTGAAAATAAACAAGAAAAAGGTGTGCTTACTTAGTTTGTAGATTAGATAATAGATGGAAAGATGACCACACATGATTTATTAGATGAGGTAAGTAAACTTAACATTTTTATAATACCAAGGCCTATTGAAAATTTATAGAAAACTGCTAACCTGCTGAGTAAAGCTTACAAGTATAGGGGATCCTTCATCTCAGCAGGAACTTAGTAGATCATTGACAAGTCATTGAAAGATGAATTTGATCTTAAAGATATAAATGAGCTAACTTAGCATCTTCAAAGCGTTGATAAGCTGAACCTATACAATCAAAACTATATTAAGCATCTTTAGAAATTGATTGTGAAAGTTCAAAGAATTAAAAATAAGGAGAAGTATATGTATCTTACTGATTAGGAAATGCTCTAAAAAAATAAATCAAAATACTAGACCATCCTGAAAAGCTATTTCTAAGAACTAGCTGTTAAGAGATCTGAAGTTAATAACGAAAACTTGGATTCATGGATTGAAAGCGATAATTAGCAAATAATCCTTTATATGTAATATCTCTACCTCTGATAACTTTCATTTATATAGTGTATTCTAAGAGCTAATAAGATCTGTATCAGCCAAAGAAAAGGATTTGGGATATCTGTTAATGAAGACCTTCAAAAAATACTTCGAAGAAAATGAAAAAAAATGGGTGAATATTTTAAATGGACTCTAGTCTTATATTGAAAAGATCAAGCGAGAAAAAGATAACCTTTTATGCAAGTATAAGCCTCAGGCAGTTCACACTTCAATAATTCCTGATGCTAGGGAAATCTTAAAAAATCATGACTTGACAGAAGAAAATCTTATAAACCATAAATCTTTAATTGAGCTTCTGATCGGAGAGTACTTCGACCTTGAGGATAAGCATTTTAGTGAAAGTTTCAAAAGAAAGTACATGGAAAAAGAGATAACTAGTGTAATGTATAACTGGGATCATTTAAGAGTATCAGACAGAGTAAAATAAGAACTAGATGAGATAGACCCTGTTTAGATTGAAGAGAATTTGAAATACACTGATGAGTATAAAAAGTAACATAATCCATGTTTATCATTATTAAATAGTTTACCAAAAGATTAGCTTGCCTTGTTAGTAAATGCCTAGAGGTTTTTGTTTAGCATGAAAAAAAATAATCCTTTTGATAGTGAAATCAAGTACTTTAAGCTTAAGAACTCAGAGCTGTTTAAGAAGATAGAGGATCTCAATGATAGAATTGCCTTCTACGAAAAGCAAAATGTAAAATATCTAATATAATATTATGCAGTCGAATAATCAGAAAATGATTGCTCAAAAGGTAGATGAGATAGCTTAACTAAAATTGCAGCTAGAGAATACAAGCCGAAGTATGGAGCTAAGAGAGTACAGATCAATAGAGATTCAGACGGATATTGATATGCAGAGTCTTGCGTTCATTGAAAAAGCTGATGAATACAAAAAGATTTAATAGAAATAATAAGAAACTGAAGTTCAAAAAATTATTAATAAAGTCAAATTTCAGCTATGCTAAGTAGAGGCAGCTTCCTATTCTAAGATTTTAGATATAATCTAAGGAGTTTATCAAAAGAAAATATTAGACAGTAAAAAGAAAAACTATATATCCCATATCAGCTTGCATGACTATCTCTATTAAACATTAACTTAAAGATACCAAATCTTATCTAAGGTTGAGTAAAAATGCGAAAAATTCATTCTTGGCCTCAATAAACATTTTTCTGAAGACGAAAGAATTTAAGTATTTAGAGATTTTGTAGGTATGACAGAGTCTACAAAGTTTGGATCAGAAGTATTTGAGATTTATATAAAACTTTTGATGTCTCTAGACATGAGTACAACTGAATTGTTTGGATTTGATATAGATAAAAAGGAACTTAGCTATGAGGTTACTACTTTAAAAATCCTAAATGTATTTAAAAGCATAAATCCTGACCTCAAATATGAGGTGATAAAAACCATCATTACATAGCTTAAACTGATACAGCTTGATAAATTCAGCCAACAAAAATTTAATGTGAGTCAAAGATATGAACTATTTATCCTCAATTTCTTGCACAAGGTAATAACCTCAGACGGAGAAAAGACGTACATAATCGGAATATTTAACATTATAACTAAATTGAAAGTAGATTGCTTTGAGATTTAGCATGAAGGTAAGACTATATATCTACTAAGATTGGAGGATCTGAGAAAACTAATAGAGTAAAACTTGTCATCCCCGCTTTTGAAACTTTTTCATGATAAGATTGAATGGACTTAATTCTTCAATCATTATTTTAAGAGTTACATGAGAGAGGATAAATATGTAGATATTTTGAAATGTGAGAGTGCTTTTAACCAAAAGACCAAGTTCTATCTTAATATTCACTAGTATTTAAATATTGGAATAACATTTGCTGTGAAGTATTACGAGGAATTGAAAGTATAGTATAAGCTTGTTTTTGATGAATTCGATTTGAATAGCGATGGGTCAATAACCTTTGAAGAATTCAGTTTAATGATGAAAAAGATTGATAAAGATTTAAGATAGTGGAGAATAGCTGATATGTATGCCAATTTAACTGGAAAAGATAAAGGATTTGAAACAGTTAAGATCTCATTTGAGATGTTTTTAAGTTTCGCAATGCAAAGTGATTTCTTAGATAAACTAAGCTAACTTCACTCATGAAAATGAAAATTATTATAATATATTTGATTCATCATTTTTATGTTAGATTTATAAGCAATTCTTTGTTATTTATACATCATGGGGTTTTGGGGTTTTGGGG